GCCCACGCGCGGTACAGCTTGAAGGACGCGCGACAGGGCGTCGCCCGTACCGCGCAGTTGCGACATTTCGACATTTGCTTCATCCACCACCATGTCGCCATCGATGTCTGCATCTCCGTCGAGGAGAGCCTTGCGGGGAAGCTTTGATGCGCGACGAAGATGAGCGGACACGTTACCCGACTCGTTGGCATCCTCGTCCTCCTCGTCTTCTTGAGCTGCACGCTTGCGATTGGCAGTGCGGTGCGCGGGAGCGTACCTGCGAGGATCACCTTGCGGGTAGTCGCTGGCGGCAGGTGCTCGAGTCACATCGATGTCAGGCATCATCTGACGGGAGGAAGGGGGAGAAGGCGAAGTGTAGGGGGGCGGTGGATGAGGCTGCAGCACTGCATGATGGCCTGGACGACGCTGACGATGCTCGAGAAGCTGCGAATGGCGACGCGCTGACTCGACAGCGGTGGCAGCAGGAGGTTTGGAGTGCGAGCGGGATTGTTGTTGTTGTTGTTGTTGTTGCTGCTGTTGGCGTGCAGAAGGATGCAGCCTTCTCCTTGCAATAGCATCTGCTGCGGCAATGTGGAATTCGCGCTTGTCAGTGTCGGGTATACCGGCAGCCCTGCGTCGTTGCCTGGTGTGGGATGGGGCAGAGGGGGGGAGGGTGAGATGGGGCACGTGGGTGGATGATGAGGGCGAGGAATCGCTGCACTCACCTGTGATACTCCGACTGTCTGGCTCTCTGCTGGAGATGAGCGTAAGCTGCGTAGAGCCAGTAGACGACAATGACGGCGACAAAGGCGTTGAGGTAGCTGGACAAGCTGGTCATCTTGTGTCGGCTCCCCTTTGCTGCCGCCGCTGCCGCCAATGTTTTGAAGGGGGAAGCAGCGTCAAGCTGAAGCCCAGCCGAGGCTGAGGATCGCAAGGGCAGCTTGCATGGAGTGGCGATCCGAGAGCAGCAGTGAGGAGAGCACGTGCAGACTGGTGACTGATGAGTGAGTGTACAGCCCACGCACGGTGGTGATTGGGAGAGCAAAGAGTCACTCTGACCGCGGGTTTGGGGGTGAGTGAGTGAGTGAGTGAGTGTGTGTGCGTGTGAGTGTGTGTGTGTGCGTGTGTGCGTGTGTGTGTGTGCGTGTGTGCGTGTGCGTGTGCGTGTGTGAAGTTGCGTTGGTGCGTGCATGCTTGCTGATGGCCGCGCGCAGCCGTGAGTCACGTGCGAGCGCAACACTCTGGACTCAAACTTTGACTGTTTGCAACCGCGCTGGCTGCCTTTCAAGGGCTGCCGCACGCACGTCATTCTTGATTCTGATTCATGGCATGAGTCAGGAGTTGTGATGAGTCACGATCGAGTCACTCACGAGTCACGCCCGCCTTGACTTAGTCTGAGTCTTCAAGTCAGGGATCGAGTGGGGCATCAGTCTGAGTCACGATTTCAATGGTGAATGGTGATTGATTCAAGATTGCATTCAGATTCAAATTCGGATTCGCGCCTGACTTGCAGTCGCTCTCGCTCTCGCGCTCAGCAAGCGTGCGGCCTCACCCCAAGACTCGACCACGACGCAGAGGGCCGTGTCAAGGGGTTTGGAGAGGGCGCAACATAGCACAAAAGGTCACGAAGAGTGGTATTGGTAGAGCGCATCGCAAGCACAAAGAGTGGGATTGGTAGCGCATCCGCAAGCACCACCACCATGCTCCCTCCACTCACCATCATTCACGACAGTCAAGAGTCGATGGAATGATTGGTGCGGCGCGATTGAAAGGCATACATGGCAAGGCAGACATGCCATCCAACAAGCATGTCCGTCGATCAAGAAGCGCTCACAGCCACCACGCAAATCCTCTCGCAAGAATTGATGAGCGCATGTGAGCCTGTCGAGCAGCAGCATGGTCCCACTCACGCACCCACCCACACTCACACGCTGGGTGCCATGGATCACGTCGCTCTTCATTGGCTTCCCATCTCCGTCTTGTTCGTCTACAAGCACCTGCCTCAACACGCCTCATCGCTCGCATCCCCACCGCGTCTGCCCCTCGACTTCAACACTCTCCGCGCTGCGCTCGCCAAGCTGGTCCATCACTACCCGCACCTCGGTGGCAGATTGCACATGACAAGCGATAGGGCGCCCTGCATTGCCCATCTCAATGCTGGCATGGAGCTGAGACAGGCAAGCTGCACCTTTTCCCTACACGGCCATGCTCATGCTCATGCTCACACCCAATCACAAGCGCGCCCGCGCTCCGTTCAGGACCTGCCGCAATCAGGCGCGCCTTTTGTGCGACCAGCAGCAGCACAAAGCGACAGCCTGGAAAGTCACGTCGCAGCAGCTGCAGCGGAGCCGCTGTTCTCTGTGCAACACACCCGATTGGCTTGCGGCAGCGTCATCCTCGGCATTCAAGCTCGACACATTCTTTGCGATGCCCGCGGCTTTTTCCATTTGGTGCGCAACCTCGCTCATCTTTACAGGCGATTGCGCACCTCCAAGCCAGACGCGCATCACCTCCTTCACCTTGATGCAGGACAATTGCTTCACTGCCAGTCATACTCTCCACCTTTGCCATCGCCGCCTCTTGACTTTGAGCCGAGCATGTACAGCTTGAGCCAAACGAGAGAGGCAGAGGCAGGCGCAGGCGCAGGCGCGGTGCCACAGTCACAAGAAGCATCCCCACCCCGCGTGATTGGCCGAGTGCTGCGCGTCTCAGCGGTCCAGATGGCGCGGATCAAGCTGCAAGCGCAAGCATCAGCACCCGACCCCGATGCATCGTGGGTCACAACCTTTGAAGCGCTCTCGGCTCATCTCTGGCAGCGCATCTACGCCGCTCGCCTGGCTGCTGCTGCTGCTGCTGCTGCTGCTGCGAGTGATCAAGCAGCGCCTGCAACTCCAGTGTCCACCGCCTACATGTCGCCTGCAGATTGGAGCGGGCAAGCGAGGCTCAACCTTCCTGACAACTACTTTCCCAACTGCATCTTCAACACCACCTTTCACGCCCCTCCGCAACTCTTGCAGACGAACAGCATTGCCCCACTGGCTCGCTACATACACGTCGAATCGCGCAAGCTGACCGTCGAAGGGGCGCGCAACACGCTTTCTTGGATGCAGCGTCAGCCAGACAAATCCCTCATCGAGATGAAGCCGCCGTTTGAAAGGGGAATGTTTGTCATCACTGCTTGGCACAAGCTCGCTTGTTATCGAGATGTGCACTTTGACGAGCTGCTGCTGCTGCCCGCGAAGGAGGAGGAGGAGGGTGTGGTGGAGCAAGGCTTTCATCATCCTTGCCTCGTTGCGCCTCCCATCACCCCCACCTCTCTCGTCGATGGCTTGATATATGCCCTACCTGCGCCGCCGCCCCATCAGGACTCTGCGGTGCACCTCTGCATCACTTTGAGCCAGCCCGTCTGGCATCATCTCGATCGGGACGCTCTGTTCCTTGCGTTTGCAGACGCGTGCGCGTGAAGCACGACGACTTTTTGCAAATGTGATGTGGTTGCGAGCTGCAAGTTCGCCATCCTTGACGCAGTGCGCGCAGAGAGGTAATCGTCGTGCGCGCAGAGAGGCAATCGTCGTGCGCGCAGAGAGGCAATCGTCCTGCTCGCATTCATCTTTCACAGAATGTGCACAATCGCGCTTTGTCGGTTTTGCGTCCGCTGCATGGCGCGTAAGCTCTTCGATCGTCGAGCGCGTGTCTTTTTCGGATTTGAATTTCCTCGAGGCGCGCTGGGGGAGGGGAAACAAAATGAAATACAGCAGAGCAGGGCCAGCAGCGCGGTGGCAGCGGGGGGGGGGGGGATTGGCAATGGCTG